AAAATATTTTAACAAAAAACAACACTGTTTAGATTATTTTAAAAAATTTTATGTGAATAGAGGTGTGGGGAACAAAGAGAGGAATATTTTTGAAAGGTGAGAGATTTTTTTTGTTTGTTTGCAAGCTAAGCCATGACTACCATTGAACGGACACTTTTTTTAAGTAAAAATTCTTGGAAAAAATCCAACGAGAAAGAGGGGTGAGGAATCAAATGAGGAATCGAATGGTAGTTGTTTCATACAAATCGGAGTGATATTGGTCGAGATCGTACATCTTTTGTTTTTTTTTTGTTTTTCTATATATGAAAAATCATGTGATATGACGTAATTTCGACTATTTTAACTTTTCATTTCGACTTTGATCTCCAAAGTTGAAACATTTCGACTTTTTGGATTTTCATTTCGTCTTCATGTATAATCATAACAATTCTCTTTATTATTCTTTTAAAATAATGTACAGTGAGACCTTTCTAAATGCATCCTCCCTAAATGCATGCATATATATTTTTTCTATAAATACACATTCCATACAGCCCAAGTATATAAAGATTATATAAAATTTCTCTCTTTAAATGCACACCCTCCTTAAATGCACATTTTTTCAAATTTTTACTATGATCCCAAGGAGGGTGTATTTAGAGAGATCTCACTGTATTATCATTTTTAAGAAACGATTCTTTTATAGTTTTCTAAGAATAATATACTATAGTTTTATCAGAATGATTTTTTTTATCATTTCTATAAATGATGATTTATCATTCTATTAGAACGAGACTTCTATTATTCTTTTAAAACTATGTATATCATTCTATTTGAATGATTTTTTTTATACTTTCTTTAAAAAAAATTTGTTAAATTTTTCAGCTCAACTTTAGACTCAAGTTTTGCTTGACTTTAGGTTCAAGTTTGTGCTCAAGTTTTGCTTAACTTTAGGCTTGAGTTTAGCTCAAGTTATCTCGAGTCGAGTTAAGCTTAACTTGAAACTCAACTCAAGTTAAACGAGTCAAATTTTTTATGACTTGACTCAACTCAACTCAACTCAACTTATTTGACTTGAAAGTTAGCTCAACTCATTTAGATCTCAAGTTCTGGAACATTTGATGAATATGTTGAAACTATTTTTTACATATGAACATAGAAGCATAAAAATTATAATAAAGTATTATTGGTAATTTTGTCATATATTTTTTATTGGAAGGTATTAATTATTCTTTTTTGAAAAATATGAAAACTTTATCCAATTTTAATAATTATCTAGTGAAAAATATGTATAGTAAAATTTAAACAAGTATATCTTTTGTTATACAAGTTGATTACGAAGTCTACTGACTAAAAAATAAACTTTAACACGTATAGCAAGATTATAGGTATCTGAAGGATAATGATTTTACTTAATAACTTTAAGAATTTGTTTACGTTAATAAACTATTGAATTTATAATATATCAATTTATAAGTATAGGAATATTAAAGATATATAAATATAAATTGGGAATACATATAAATACTTCAAATACGATAGAAGAGTAATAATGATGGATTAGATTTTAGGTTATGAGTTTAACAGATCAATATTATAAGAATAAAGTTTAGTTTATTAATAAAATATAAGTGAATCAATACAATTAATAAACTGAATAAGCTCTTGTTTGCGAACTTATCAATTTATGAATTTCACAATAAATTCTCTAATTAACTTTAATTAAAACTAAACTGAACTTAAATCTATTTCAAATCTAACTGTCTTTTATTTACAGCAATTTCCTATTCTATTTATATAAAATATTTGATCTACTTTTATTACTAATTTAAGATAAAGTAAAACTATTAAAGTTAAATAAACATTATAAACTTTATTAACTTAGTTACTAATTTAACTAAATAAACATAAGAAACTTAAACAACTATATAAACTTAGTTAACAATGTTATCATCGTTTCTGAGGTTTTAATCATTTTGATCGTCAGGCTGTGGCTTAAGAAATTATGGCTTGCTTTAGTAGTAATTTGTAGAATTATAATAGCAATCACTCTTTTTGAATTATCTTCACTTCTATTAGTCTAATAACCTTGTGTTTATATTTGTTAGAAAGTTCTCGATAAGACGGTTCTAATGATCATATTTCTATTGAAATGGAATTATTAGGTTGAAAGTTATTTCATTTAACACTATAAATGCAAGTGTAAATAATATTATTAAACAGGCATATATAATTAGTAAGTTTTTTTTTTAAAAAAATAATTCAATAAAAAATTAAATAAAAGTCTAACATTTTTAAAGATTCTTATATTTTAGATGAATTTAAAAAGACTTACTAAATATATTGACATTATTCTTATAACTATCAAAGTTTGATTTTCTAACAAATAAAGCAAGTTTATTTTTTGTTATAATATTTTTAAGAAGTTTATCAAAATTATAATAGTAGTCATATACTTAATATAATTGGAAAAAAAACTACAACCTATTACCTTACTACGTTAAATTAACAAGTAGATATTAAAAATCTAACATAAGATATCCTCATATAATATTGAATTAAATGATGATAGTATAACTTTGGTTTGTAAACATGATTATCATTGAATATATTACAATAATTTAAGAAATAGATGTAATTATTATGAATAATATTATAAGCATAATGTATTTGATAATGTAAAATATTTTCTAGATAGATTACAAAATGGTAATAATGAACTTACAAGAAGATGATGATAATGTAGAGAAAATGTAAAGAAATAATAAGAGAAAGAAATAGAAGAGGTAGACAATTCTGATTTTATTATTGTATTATCAAAATTAACAAATGCTTTGCTTAATGTAAAATAATGGTAAAAAATTAAATAAAAATGCTATTAATTCTAGTACAAGTTTGTCAGTTTCTTTTTTATAACTTGTAATATAATAATTATTAACTTCCAGACTATTAGAAATCAGTATTATATGCTCTATAGCCAAAACCTTCAGACACTAGATCAGGATATAGAAAATGAAAGTAAAGATAATAGCAAAAGATTATGTGAAATAAACCTGCTTATTTTTAATATACGTATATAATATAAAATTATGTAATGATAGGGGTCAAATTGAATTTTTCTCATGCTACTTATTATAGATCTTCATGATCTTCATTATCGATTACTAACTATGGAATATAAATCATATGGGGCCTTTGCAATAGAAAGGGGGGAAACTGCCGGGAAAATTAATTTTACTTTTATATGCCAAATATGATTTTTAGGTTGAAATATGTTCAAATTTTGCATTCTCATTTTTTATTTTTCCGGCAGTTTCCCCCCTTTCTATTGCAAAGGCCCCATATGATCCTCGTTTTGACTTTTAAAAAAAAAAGTTACACTGAGAGTAGCTTAAAGTACAATGTTAAAAGAGTGATTTGTTTTGAAAAATGCATTTATTTGAAATGTTTCATGAAGTCAAGAGTTTTACTATAAGCGTGACTTCGATGATAAATAAACCGACCTCGATTAAAAGATAAGTATATTGCAATTAAGAGATATGAATTCAGTTTCATCTTAAATATTTACTGTGTATACTGTATATATATATATATGATGAATCGATTAGAAAAGTGGTTGATTTATTTTGTTAATTTATTAAATAATATTTTTCTTATAAAAAACAAAGACCTTGGTATTTTCTTATGCAATTATTCGACAACTACTATTCTAAAACATTGTATTTTTATTTCTTTTTATTCACCAATTTAAATAAAAAATGAAAAAGGGGGAATTAATTTATAATTCATCTTTTAAATGAGAAACTGGTGTTGATGAAAATCCATCTGTAACCTGAGAAGTTTTTTCGGTAGGAATTTGATATTCGTTGATCTTTTCAGTTGATTCTGTTACTAAATTCTTTTGTAATTGTGAAATTCTTGCAGCAAAAATAGTAACTTCGTTATCATAAGATTCCCATTCTGGAACTTGACGCCTTGCGCGATCAAGTTTTGGTTCTTTGGTCAACGGATTATTACACTAAATTTCGTTTATTTTTTAAAAAAAAAGAATCAAGATGAGTTTTTTTATTATTATTTGATCAAAACGAATTTCATGATGTTTAATCATTTCGAAACTTACCAAGTCTATGGTTCTTGCATTTACTAATGACTCATCACTACACCATGTCTCACACCAAAGCCATTCAAGCGGTAATGAAAATATTGGCACATTATGTTGCATATTATTAGGTAAATCTTGATCTAAATTAGCTAACGAATTTGGGTCTAAACTTAGTGACTGATATTGCCCACGTAATTGATCTCCTGCTGCCATGTGACGGAATCGTTGTAAATCTATCACGTAAAGCGCACTATTCATATTATAAAGTTCAATTAGTCACCAAGTATTACAAGCACCTTTGCCTAAACAATTTATTATACCTAATATGATATGGTTTTCCTTTTAAATGATCCTTCCAATATCCATGCTTCCAAAATCGAAATTCATCCATTTCTGGCCTATTATCACAGAATGGTGTATACCCGTACGGTGCTCCTTCAAGATCCATGTCAACTAATTCTTTTAAATCCGCTCGTACAATTTGATCTGCATCAACAAATATAACTTTATCCAAATCAAGTGGGAAGAGTACATCTAAGAATAAAATCTTGTACCTAAGGATAAAACATAAAATGTTACTCCCTATTTTTCTCAAAATAAAAGGGGCATTCGATAGAAGATACTTAACCCCCAAATAGTCCTCTGTTTTTCCTTTTGAGCCCTTAACCAATGCGGCCATTTGTATGTAACTAATTCATATTCAAAATCATATTCTTTGGCCATATTCGGAATAAAATTCTATATAAATAAAAATGATAAATAGTTAACAAAGCCTTTCTTTTATGGTTACACGGGTACACATTTAAAACTTACCTTGAAGGACGGGGATAAAAAGTTTTCGATAAACCAAAATTTAACGCGACTTTTTGTATGTCTCAAAACACTTATGATCATAATAGACAAGAATCTCTCATAAAGGTGCCCAGATGCTACAGAAAATATATTGATTTCTGCTTTGCTCTTTCTAGAATCGCGTCTATTAATAGAAAACCTTTTAAAAAAAATGTAAATAAAAATAAAAATAAAAATCAAATTAGCGTCCCGATGAAAATCTTCATTAAATGTAGAAAAATTCTTACTTGTCTTTAATATAATCCCAAATTCCATCTTTTTCTTCAATTTTTAATACATCTTCATTTTCTTTACCAGGCTTTCTAGTAAATCTTGGATAAATAACTAACCCTTCAAAATTATTTAACACAATCTCATTTCCAATTTCTTCAACACTACGACTATACCACCCTTCACTTCCACTACTTTGTATATCAAATATTTCTGTAGACCTCCCTTCTCTCAAACCAAATATCCATACACCAGGATTTGCTTTTAACTGTAAATATCCAAAATTTGCCATTACAATAGTATCTACCATTGCAGGAGCATTCTTGGTACCAAGTACTATTTGTAACCCACTTGGTGGTGCATTTAATGTCATATCGCGTGCGTGACCTTCAATCAGAATATTCTTCAATTCAAACACCGATTCAACTCCTTTTATTCTTGAACGAGAATCTAGGTTCGCCAAACGGATGTTATCCAAATCATAAATAGAAACTTTGGGTGTTACTAGCCATGCTTGAATTACATCCATTCCAAGCGTTAACAAAGGATCCTCGGGTAAATTTGAAAAATATGCGGACGGATAAATCAGATATCTAAGAGAAAAATATGTTAATAAAAGAAAAAGGGGTCCTCTGGAGGAAAAAAAAAAAAAATAGGCAGATAATTTAATCATTACCCAGTCGTAGAATTAAATTTCAATCTCGGTTCTAATACATATCGGTAAAATCTCTTTATCGGAATTTCATTTAGGTTCAACTTAGGATTAAAATATATCTCGATAGCAACTCCATCAATTTGTGATAATATCTAACAATTATAACTTCGAATTATTAATAAATAAATATTAAAATGGTTGTCGTTCCCTCATATTATTACCTTTAAGATTGTGGACCACTTTTGAGCCGCTTCACTTATTGGATCAATTAAAACACTAATCTTGTATAATGCTGCCTCCATATCGCCAATGACAACTTTGCTAGAATATCATAAATATAATAAGTTTCATATACATAATATAAATTGATAGAGTTTTAAATATGTGAATTCAAACCTGTGTTCAGATTTTAATTCCTTAAACGAAAGATCTCGTTTTAATTCTTGTTCCTCGAAAAGTCCAACGGGAACATCAGATGTCGTAGCTTCAGACATTATAGAAGTCACTTTCGCAACAAAATCCGAATAATTTGGCCTAAAAAAAGTCGAGAAATTAATTATAAATTCTTTCAAATTTCAAAATGATTTAACCAAAAATTACCCATTCAAATGCACTGTTAAATTGGCCGCTTTTACGGCATTTACTACAGGCTCAATACGTTCTGCGTTTTCAATATCAAGCAATAATTTGAAATCATCCGAAATGAACAAATTTTCTTTAATAAATGGACCCACAAACTATCAATAATTTTTTTTTTTTTAAAAAAAAAATATATATATATATAAGATTCGAATATAATTTAAAAAGAATAGTTTCATAAATAATCTCTTACATACACGACCATTAACTATAATAGCGGTATCATTTTCACCCAGTTTCAACGTTTTTCGTATAAACGAGTTCCATTCTCTCCAATAAGTTTGTGCCCGTACTTTATCAACTAATTGCCATCCAAAGGATCTAGCGGAATTGATCTTTTCAGAATCTGAAATAGGTATTTGTTTTGACTCTTCTAGTTGTTCATTATATGGCATATTAACTTTATCATCTATGCTAAGATATTCTTCTATAGCCTCTTTTAAGAATTTTAATAAGTCTGATGATGTTTCTTCAGCATTTACTTTGGAGTCATGCAAAATATGAAAAAAAAGAGATGATAAATTTATATCTTCACGCTTGCTAGTCTGAGTTGAAGGATTATGGATGAATGCTATGCGTACATTTGGTGATTTATTCTAATTAAATAATATTAATTTAAAACATTTATTAAATAAAATGTGAACAAAATCATTTAATATATAATTTACCAAATATTTCAAAGCTTCCAATCCTTGCTTAGCTCCATATTCACTATCAAAGTCAGTTATAAGTAATAATGAAATAGTTACTTCATTATCACCTCGTTCCTCTAGGAAAAAAAAAATTTTTTATTTGTAGTAAAATTTTTAAATAATGTTAAAAAAAAGAATATCACGTACATACCTGAATAAACATAATCTAAATTATTTAACTTTTCACTATTTCCGTTTTTTTCATTTACTAAATTAATCACCTTCAGGGGCTGAACATCAGTTACGAACACAAAAGGATTTCTTCTGGATGGAACATTTGGTAAAGTCGTGAAATACTCGAATATATTTGTATGATCCGCAATTTCTCCACCATACAACTATTATTAAAAAAATGCATCATGATACATTATACATCATTATCAATTGGGTTTCTTAATCACAAGTATACTTACTTTTTGTTGAAGGAATGAGGTGTGTTCATTAATAGTTTGAACCATATTTCTCTGATAATTCTATAAACAAAGTGAAATTAAGTACTTAACGATCATAAAATCCTTTACTTATGCCTTGCAAAATTCTAATTCTTAATACTTCTAATTAAAATAAATATACGTTACTTACATCATCCATATCAAAATATTTTCCATTAACAAACATAACACCTCTTCCATTAGTATCTATTCTGAATCTACTAACAAACTCTTTCGCACCAAGAATTTGCTCTTCAAGTGAAGATTCAACATCAGGTTTAATGATGTCATTGAAGGATTTAATAGAAGTTTTATCTTTTGGCTTTTCACCATCAATAATAATGTTAAATTGTTTTTTTGCACTTTCGAATATAGAAGGTGAACTATTTGATTCTTCATAAACCTATATCACATGAATAGAATTGATATTTTATGATTTCATATTAATAATAAAAAAATTATTATTCTTTTTTTTTATAAAAAAAAAAAAAAAACAAACCCCCGAGAAAAATTTCATGGTCAAAGATTTTGTATGCTGAGCAATAAGATGATAAAAAATTTTTGCCATTATTAAGGCTTTAAAAATATTAAAAAAAAAATGAGAATTTTTTTTTAAATAAAATTTTAAGACGAAATGATTCTAATCAATCACATACATTCATTGTTTTCTTCATTCACAAGTGGAATGAAACCAAACCGTATTGGAATATCCCTTTCAATGAACGTTTTGATCTGTTCAGTGATGACCTTGAGATTATTTATAGATGATAGATCAATAACAAATAATACACTGAATAAGTTTTTACGTATATATCTCATCTGTCCGGGATAGACTGGTCGAAATATCTAAAAATAGATGTTAATGTTGATGTAAAAAAAAATATATGTATAAGTAAAAAGGGAGAATGAAAGTTTCTTAACATACATCATAAATCCTAGATGGCCAATGAGAATATCTTTTATCTTTTTCCAAATCATTTAACCAAGTTATAATATTTTTCTTTTCCGATTTATCCCGAACATCAAAAATTCCTTGAGTTAACTCTTGAGAAGATTTTGATTCCGAGATAATAGGCGATGCAAGCAATTCAACAGCTTGCTGTGTGTTCATACCAAGGCTCATAAGCGATAACATATTTTGTCTCTCGCGTCGAAGCAATTTTAATAGACTTTTTGAAGATTATGTAAAGTTAGAGATGAACAATAAATATTTAATGCTAAATTTTAATTCCTACCCAAAAGGATCAACTGAATCGGGAGCAACTTTCAATCCATTGAGCCAAAAAGAATTGGTATTTAACATCAGAGAATTTTTATTTGTTGAAATCTCATGTTTAAGTGATGAATTAAGACTAAGTTGAGAGATATGATAAGAATATTTTGGTAAATCTTGTGATAAATGCGCAAAAGCTGACAATGGATCTGGTGAAGAAATAATGAATTGAGCAGCCTTCAACCCAAGTTCTATAAATAGGAAAAGTAAATTACGTGAGCACAATAATGGTTTTTTTTTAAAAAAAAAATTGAATGAATTTTTACTAAATACCCCTTATTTCGCTAGTTATAAGTGGTTTAATTTCAGATATATCCTCGTCAAACAAATGTTCACTCAACATTTCAAGGCGTGAATCATTATGAGACTCATGGTTTGATTCGGATTCATTTTCTCCTTCATCATGATCATCTAAAATAATTGATTCGAATTATTATTTTTTTTTTTTAAAAAAAAATTTACTTGCATATATAACAGACCATCTTACCAGTTTCAACTTTACGATCATCAATCACAATGTAATCGGTATTTTTTAATGCCAACTCCACACCATATCCAGTAAGATATAAATCATCTCGTTTTCCTTTGGGAGGTTTATATCGTAAAATATATTTGGCTTCATCAATACTTATCAACTCGGATAAAAATTGATGAAAAGATGCAAAATTCGATGAAAACACATCAGCGTATAAGATGATTAATGGTGATATGATTTCTTCATTAGAGGATAAAACATGATCAAAAGGCAAAAGTTTTAGATGTTGATCGGAGCTATAAAAAAAAAGTTGGACATCAATTTAAAAAGTACGACATATCTTGATTATCACGACCAAAAAAAAAAAAAAAATTATTGTTACCTATTATAAGGTATATCGTATTTTCCGGACTTGCCAAATCCGGATAAATTCTTGAAATCTTCAATGCTACAAGCTTGATGACCATACCAATCAACCCAAACGTCACATTCGGGATTAAAATTATTATTGAATTCCTGCCTGCTTGGCACTACATTTGCGTCGTAGTAATGGTAATAAGATTGAATGACTGGAGCTGTTGTGTGAAGAGAAAGAGCGAATTCAAGAATTGATATGGATGTTGGTGCTGATAAATATTTTTTTGATTCAACAACACCAAGTGCTGTATTGTATACTTCTTGATAAGTCAATTTTGGAGAAAATAATCCTAAACTTATAAATTCATTTATAAGCGGATAATACGCCGTAGAGTTCTCTGCCGAAACAGACTCTCTTTTGAAATTAAAAATATAAAATGATAAGTTAAAAAGAAAATAATTGATTTAAATAATTAAAGAGATTGAAATTCATACATTATTTCAAGTAATAAATGAGGAGCGTCCCAAGAAGTTTTTAACCATGTTTGAACAGGAGGCGTTTCTGCTTTTGAAACTGTAAATGCTATACTAAATAAATATGATAACACCAGTAAGAAGGTGTTGTTGCTTATGGTGTTTTTAAATATCATAATAACATTTAAAAAAATATTACAGTATACGAATAAAGCGGGAAACGAAATTTTTTTGATTTCAAAAAAAAAAACCAAACCAGTTATTGACACGTCTGTTACACAAATCGGAAAATAAAAAACAAAACAAAAATGCTTTCCGGTTTACAAAATCAAAGTCGGATTATTCGATACTGTAGTTCCAGAACATTTTGGAATTAGATCGCTGAAGATAATTAATTTTAACAATTGGCTCGAAAAGATAATTTAATCAGTAAATTCAGTAAATACAATGCGAAAGTCTTACCATCCATTCTAAATGATTTGCCTTTATTGGTTTACAATAGTCAATATCTCAATATCGCATTTATCTATCGATAAAACGTCTTATACTAATTCACACAACGAATTATTTTGTAATAAAGTTATATTTTATATAGAGAGAGATATATATGAAACCAACAAATATCTAATATTTACAAGACAATAATATATTATAAAAATACACAAAAAAAAAAAAAATAAAAAAAAAATACTCCTTTAAAAAAATGTAACTTCTAAGGGAAGAAACAAATACACAGCTCAAAATTTATTTAAATTATTTGGTTTATTTTTTTTACGTTCCTTGTTGTTGATAGTCTCCAATGACATCTTAGCACGAATGCGTTCCAAACTTCGTTCTTGACTTCGAATTTTGCTATTCCAATAGTTTTTAACTTGTAATTCTGTTCTTCGAGATGTTTTATCTAATGATATTTCTTCAGCTATTTTTGCCCATTTTTTATAATAAGACTGGTCATTTTGGTTTAGGAGAGAATCAATTTTTGCTTTTTCTTCATCGGTTAACTCTTTACTTTTATTGACTGCAAGAGAAAAGAGAATAAGACGAAAGTTTATAGGTACTGACAATTCAATTGAAATATATACGAACTAGTTGGGTCCAAATGATTTACATATCTATAAATAACAAAGTAAATACATGTTTTGATTTGTTAATAAAGAATAAAACCATTAAATAAATAGCTTACCGCTCGCGGACACTTTTATGATTACGTTTTAATATCTCTCCAATTATCTTCCATCTATTGGTTTTATCCGCATGTTCTTTATATAAAGTTACGAGTTGAAGATCTTCCTATAAATGATGTAAAAACGATGTTTGGATAAAATCATCGCATAATAGAACTTTGCATATATATATTACCTCTACCGAATATACACCTCCTTTCTTGACTGATTGTGTTTCGGTCCTCGTTGGTGGCATTCTAATAATTTGATGTGGTTCGGTAGAAATGGTAATAAAATGACTATTGAATTAAATGAATGTTTTTTTTAATTTATCTATATGGAAGGGAATAAATTAGATGTTAATAAAAGAAAGTGAATATAATGATTCTAATCCATCATTAAAAAAAAATAATTTGGTTTTTACGAAATTAAGTTCTTTTTATAGAGAATAAATTCTTTTCAAATGCACCTTTTAAGGTAAAGGACACGACGCACAATATCTTTCATTATGTAGTCATACAATAAACGGATTGAGAAAATTGTCTAATTTTACCATATTCGATATTTTAGATTTTTTTAAAAAAAATGGTATCATTTGGCACGTGTATAAATTGCATGACATTTCTTTCATTGGATAATTATACCAAATAACACAAAACGGGTGTATACTGTATATATATGTAATACATACTGTATATATATAATTTTTTTTTTCCTTTGTAAAAATGCTAAAAATCGATTCATTCCGAGTAACCTGGCGTAATAGCATTTTTTTACAAATTTCGCGCTCTTATGTTACCCAATTTGTAATATTTTTTTTTCTCGGTGAAAAAACTTTTTTAATGTTATGCTTTTATTAAATATTACATCATTATTCCTAAATAATTGCCTTTGAGACAGACCAAATATTTGGTTGTACACCTTTTCGAAATACGAGAAAAGGACATTATAATGGTAATCTCTTTATCAATGTTTCGAAAATTCTCATCACAAAACCTTGAACAAATTTGGAATGAACTTAAAACGTCAAACCAATTCAGCAAAGATCGCATCTTTATTTGTGTAACGTACACAAAAATCACTTATTTATTCCTTATATATTTTTGATTATTTAAAATTATAGACGCAACTTCTTTTTGTCAGCTCTTTCCATATTGGATATTTTCTTTGTAAACGGATTCTAATGCTTTACCCCAGATGAAAAAAAACTTCATTTTTGACATCATTATCTACCTATATAACAGTTACGAAACATAAAACGAATGTCTACTTCGAATTCTTCTGCTAACTTTGATTTAATGCTAGGTAGTGAAATATACACTATTATATATCATATGAACATAAGGTCTATTTATAAGTACATTACGAACTTCATGACAAATCTTTGGTAGGAGCTTTGATAGTTTCCTTTTTGGACGAGACGCCTATCATGAAAAAGAGTCGCCAAAAATTTTTATTTAACGGTAAAAAATAGAAGATATCCATTTCCTCCTCGTTTAAAAGTTGTCCTCACTTTGCAAAATAAAAAAAAAAGCACCTTCTTTTAAAGCCTCTTGATCCAGGTCAAACATCTTCGCTTCCTCCAAAAAAAAAGACTATTCCAAGAATCCACGATTTGATGATTTACTGCCTCCTTTAGCTCCTTTAGATAAGAAGTTAGTAAAATGCTGTTCGCAAGACTTATTAGTAGACTGTTCTTTGAGGTGTTCATGATATTCGTTAAATATTCTCAGAGGAAAAATAACACACGAAAATACGCGTCTGCGGCAAATGTGAGACGCGCCAAATCTTTAAAGGAGATGGCGATCCGATCAAACACGAGGCTTGATTGGCTGCCTATAATGTCTTAATTGGAATATTATATTAGCCACAAGGTCAATACAGTGTTTACAAAAATGTGTCTATAAGAGGATTGTGACTATATAAGATGTGACTATATAGAGGGTCGACTGTATATATAAACATAAATTCCTTCTTTCTTTTGGTGTATAAAAAATTTCTTATTTATAAGATCGTTTATATCTTCATCTATACAATTTAAAACAGATAAGATAACTTTTGACTAGATGAGAGAGATTGAAATCTTTTATCATTTTAAAATTCCTCGATGAATAAAAGATCCCTTATCTTTATCTTCTATGAACACATTTATTTAATTGTTGAGAAATTTTAACAATTAATGAGAATGGCATTCAAGACTGCTTTATGATTTACATGTAATAGGTTTAACAGAGTCGTGCGAAAGATGATGATACATTCTTAATTAAACAATAAATTTACTTTTGCCAAGAATAGCTCTATTCATAGAAAGATTATGAGATAGCTTGATCGATAAAGTTTTGATATAAGGATAGTTTCTAGATATTTATTCACAAAGAACAAAATATTTTATTAGACTGATCTGTTTATTTATACATTTTTATTGTCAAAGAAACAAAAAAGCAATACTTTAGATAAAATGGCGTACTTTTTAACTAACACGGAAATTACTTATAAGAAAATATACAAAACCGATTTAACATGTGGCTTTGCAGAATCAACGCCATTTTCAAAAAAAAAAAATTACATTTCGGGAGTAGGCATGTTATGCGGACGGAATTCAACTTATTTCTTCCGATTCTGATTATCGTTATGAAAAAAAAAAAAAAAAAAAAAAACAGGAGACTGGGGCACTTCTCTTTCATCCTTTTGATTTTGATTATCATTTAAGTTTGGGCAAATTAAAAAAAAAGCCTACATGTGATTTTGAGCATCACCAAAAAAGAAAAAAAAAGAAAAAGTCGGTGTCTTTTCCCGGTTAATTTCCTAAATTAAGAAGAACCATAGACTAATTCTATTTATATGATGATTTCTAAAATATAAATAATCTAAATCGAACTTAATTCTAAATATAAAAAACTAAAAGTCATCAAAAAGAATATCTAATTAATACTTTTTTGATAATGGATCATTTACCGAATAGAATTTTAATAAATATTGTTTTGAAGTTAAACGTGTGACAATTATGTAATTGCATAAATGTTAAATACTACTAGATATAGATATACGTGACCACAACAAAAAGCCTTTTTTTTCGTCCAAAGCTCGAAGAGAAAAATTCGGAACTTTTTGAAAGTGATCCCTTTGGACGAAATTATTAGATGTAATGAAAAAAAAATAAATTAGGCGTTTTTTCCATAAGATCTTAAAAATGAAAAAAAAATGCTAACCAAATCGGTAAGTAATGAGATCACATTAACTAAAAGTGAATATAATATATAATTTGACAATGTGTGATTGTGAGATATTTTGAAACTTGTTTAAAGATTATTTATTGTAAGGTAAGTCAAATGTATTATAATCCAAATGTGTGTAACGATAAAAAGAATAGGATCAAATATGTTTAACAATATAACTAAATTAGTGAAGATTTTCAATTATACAAATTTAATTATTCTGAACTGTTAATTGAAAGTGCGATTATTTTATCATGGATTTCTTGAACCAATGTGTCATAATTTTCTATAGGAATTTTCTTTTCACAAAGTAATCCTTCTTGAATTTTCAATTTTGTTGTTACAGGTTTTTGAGTATCGATTGGTCCCGGGTACGATTTTTCATCTTTATCTGATAAAATGCGAGATTAAAATCTAGATTCACTTTTGAAATTTTAAAATTACAAATATAATTACCATTTAAATCATCGTACGGTCTTATCACTTTATTATATTCTTCATTTTTTTCTAATATTAAGAGTTAATTTCCGAAAAAAAAATTTATCTTAACGATAATAAAAATGATACATTATTTTAAAAAAAAAAATAAATATACCATGTGTTTGATCACTATCACTATTTCGTTTTATATCCGTATCGCGTGACGAGAGGTTGTATACATATTTAAGTGTTACATAAAGAATAGTTGGAAAGTAAATTGAAACAAACGCGACGGGAAAATGTAATGATTCGGGAGATAATATTACAATAGTTGGTAGTACTACAATTAAAATAACCGATAAGACAAAAGGTTCGATATTCATGTTACTTTATTTTAAATGGTTTATGAAGATATGTGATTTTCGAGAAAGAAATTCAAAATATGTAAACACGGATCAAATATCCTAGATAAGTAAATTCTAAATGCTAATTGATTTTTTTTATGTTTGTAACACATGAATATGATTAAATTAGGACCCCGAAATATATTCGATTTTCGGGGACTAAATTGTGTGTTTCTTCTGATATTGGTATCTGATTTTGTAAAAAATTACTCGTTACAACTGAATGAAATCACATATTACCAACTTTGGGTTTCCAAAAATCCAATAAATCCAATTCAACAATTCTGCGTAAACTCAAAGAATTTTTTAAAATCATATATTGACTACGTAATTTAAGCCTTACCTTTTCGGATCCTAAGAAAATGAAAAATAATCAGTAGTAAAGAAGGGATGTAATTTCTTAAGTAATCGGTCATTGTTTTAAGATCATTTAAATCTTATTATGGTTTAAATTCAATTCAACCAAGTTTTAAAAATCTTTTATTTATGATATTAAATTGTATATATTTCCATTAAAAATATGATGTTTAATATTTAAAGAGAACCTTCTATTTTTTAAAATAGGGTGAAAAGTACAAAGATAATAATAGTACAGTAAGTAAAGTACTATAGAAGAAGCTTACCATACCTTATACTATAGAATCCAAATTCAAATCCAAATCCAAATCCGAATCCCAAATCCCGAATCCCGAATCCATTCGATTTATCCTACTTACAGAAATAGAATCGATTTACATAATCTTTTTAAGTATATCTCGATCTATCCTACTTACAGAAATAGAATTTAAATCTTTAAATTCTGATTATTATATGCGGTGATATGATATTATTTATTAAAGTTTAGGTTTAAGGCCCAAATAAACAAGTATAGTTAGTATAGTTAATACATTGAATACAATACCAGTACAAGTACAGGTGTCAAATTTCCCAACCCAGATTAAAAGCTTGTTTCAATCATTACGAAAGACTAAATATAGTCATGTCTATTAAAACGTTTCTCGAAAAAAAGATTTTTTAATCGGCTTAATTTGATTGGTTGATAAATAGATCTCCGGATTAATGTACTGTAAATAGGTAAGGTTATATATACAGTACAGTATTAAAAAATATAGAGGATAATTTTTTCTGATTAATTATGTTTAATATAATCTTATCAAAAAAGATTCCTAGTATTAGCAATTATCCTATATATTAATATATTCAATTATATTAAAAAAAAATTATATTAACTATTTTTGATTCTGATTTATTTTTATATAATTAATTAGTTTAAAATTATAAAACAAAATCTTTTATTTCTAATTATTAAATCTGAAAATACTTAATAACTTTATTTTATTTTATAAACTTTTTATAAAAAGTATTAAATATTATCATAATTTAAATTTGATAAACTTTATTAAATTAAATCAAATAAATAAATCAAATTAAATTAAACATTTAATTAAATCAAATTAAATCAAATTAAATATTTGAAAGCTTTGCAAAAAATAAATAAGAATAATTCTTTTCTATTATCAGAAAGGGAGGAAACTCTAAAAAAATTAAAATTTTACTTTATAAGCTAATTATGATTTTTTTAGTAAAATAAGTTCAGATTTAATATTAACTAAAAATAAAATTTTTTAGAATTTCTTTTCTTTCTATTGCAAAGCTTTCATTTAATCAAAATATTTAATTAAATCAAATCAAATTAAATTAAATCAAATATTTATTAGATCAAATAAATAAAATTAAATATAAAAAAATTTTTAATTTATACAATTAAATATTAAAGTAAAGTTATTTCTAAAAATTTTAATTATGAAATTCATTAGTAATATATATTAAAAAAATTTTCAAATATAGTTAACAAATACCTCTATGATTTTTAAAGGTGATTTTTTATTAGGAAATACTTTATTAACAACCCAATAATTTTTAAATGTATTGTGAAATTAATATTACAATATATTGTATATAAAATATAATGAGATACTTGTTATTAGATTTGTAGAGTTATTTCTTCAATTAATTGTTACATTAATTTATATTAATATATAGTAATAATTAATAGCAAAAATAAATAGTAATAATATTTGTAAAAATATATTATATATATAATTTATTTAATGTAATATTAACAAATCAATTTGTACATATATTTTAAATAATTAATATATACATTTAATTGTATAATATATAAATAAACAATTATTCTACAAGTTTTCTGATTTTTTTTATATTCCCTAACTGAAATGTTGATTTAGAAATTATTCTTCAAAATTTTGATACACAAAACACAAATCAGGAGATATAGTTGATCTTGATCATATAATAAAACAATTAATACTACATAGTTAGATTCTTTATTATTTTATTCATTATTGTCATAATTTAATTAGCAAAATTATGTTAATAATATATTAAATATTAATTATATAATAAAATAAAATAATATACTGATAATATTATTTTTTATTTATGTAATATCTAAAATTAATCGACAATTAATAAATATAAATAAGATAAAATGAATTTAAAATTTAATAAATTAGTATTTACACTTTATACTACTGTATAGAAAACTTATTACGTAAAAATTTCAGATTATCTGTTGTATGATGATTAGTACAATTTTATATGACATTATTTGTGAAAATAACATAAAAGTTCTAAGAAATTAGATGATCATATTTTTCGAAAAGATCCTTTAGGTTTTTTTTTAGATTTATATGCTTATAAAAGGTTACTGAGAAAAAACTAAGTCTAAAAGTACAACAAATATTTAACAAAGACAGAAATATAATTGTAAAGTAGCTTTATAATAATATTAAAACAGACATGTCCTAGATAACAAATTCCTATGAGAAATTTAAAAATGCTGTTAATTTGGATGAAAAATAAATTATAGGCATATTATTTTGTGTTAAGAATTATGAAGCTGTTGGTTATTTTAATAATTAGACATTGGATATGTATATGAAATTAGTGAAGTAAAAGAAGCTATCTTCTTTTATCCTGAATTTGAAATAGCAATTAAGATGAGTTTAAATTTAATTTGATATTGATTAATCTATGCTATTCATATAATGGTTAAATTGGATTTAAGCAAAGATGAATCAGATATACAGTTACAATTTCATTAACTGAAAAAATAGCAAGTGCAATTTGAAAGGAGAAAAAGGAAAAAAAGAGTAAAAGAGTAAAAGAGTATTTTATTTTTAATTTTTTTTAAATTGTAAATTATTATATTTTTAAAAAAAATAATTTTATTTTTCAAGTTTTAATAAATAATTGGTAGACATTTGATTGTTTATAATAATATTGTTTAAATTTATTCAAAATTTTTATCATATAAATTTTTAATTGTGATTTAAAATATAAATCTTCTAATTTACATTATTATAAAATGGTTAATTATTATTACTAGATAAGTAATTTCTAAATAAGGAATTTATCTATATCTATTAAAATAATTTGTAATATAAATCAATTTATATATTTGTAATACAATTTTATTTCATTATTACTATAAAATTGTAACAATTACCAGATTATATAATACTTTTAATAATTTAAAAATTATTATAAATATAATGTATTTTTTTTAAATAAATTTAAACAAATTCAAAAAAAACCAAACAAATATTAAGAATTAAACAATTTATAAAACCCAAATTATTCTATAATAAAACAAATAATTCTTTTAATAAAAAATGGAAAAAGAAATTTATTTATGTAAATATGTATTGTGTATAAATAAAAATGAAGATAATATATTAGTAACTAGGCCAATATATACTCGCCATCATAAAAGTTCAAATTTTATCATGTTAAGATGATGAAAATATTAATCAAATTAAAGTTTATGATCAAAACTTAAATATTAAATTTCATGAAAATATAATTGAAAATATTAATGATATTGAAGATTTTGATGATTTTGACAATTTATAAATATTTTCAAATAATAAAAAAGATGATAACAATAATGATATTACTAGTCAAAATGATGAAAAAGAAGATGATAATGATGATATTAATGAAGATGAAGATGATAACAGTAAAGATAGTGATAATAATGAAAACACAATACAAATTAAAGATTATAATATCATTAGCAAAGAAGTTATTGATAGTCTTCAACTTTTATATTTAAAATCATTATATAACTTTATGGAAGCGGTATATAATAGTATTATGAAAAAATATGTATAAGGTTAAAAAATCATTAAAAAGAATAACAGGACTTGTTCTTATCTTTTATGATATATATGAAAATTCTTATATATATTAAGTAATATTAAACGAACTGTCGCAATCTATATCAGCTGATAGCACAGATGCATATATCCTCAATTTGAATTAACCTATGCAATTATGCAATTTGTATAGTCATATTTTTCAGATCTAGAACTATTCTTAGGCCTACCTGTCTTACCTTGAACTCTTTTACTTCTAAGTTTTCTATAATGTTTTGAAGCTTTACGTTATCTAGCAGGAGATTTCTTTTTGTCAGTATAAATTATAATAAAAATTTTAAGAATTTAAAAAAATTGACAATAATTCTTATGGTAAAAAAAATTTTAAAAAGAAAAAAAAATTCAAAAGAGGATTTTTATATTTGAAAAATCAACATGAGAAAATTTTAAATGTTATAGGAAAATTTTTCTTATATAAAAAAATAAACAAAGAAGTATAGAAAATTTTTCTTTTGCAGAAAAATAAACAAAGGACTATTAATATTTATTGATTAATAACAATCATCAAACAAAAAATATGTAGAACATGATAAATCTTATCTATAGATCGATAAATATAATGATCAAAATAAAGTAATCTTAGAATTATAACAAATGTAATATTCAAGCTTAATTTGATATCTGCATATACAAAGCACAAGAAAAAATTTGGTTTGCATAATCTGTTTATCAAAGATTTTTTCTTATAATATTGTTATTTTTGTTATTTTTTATTTTATGTAAAATTTATATGTT